ACATAGTTAAACTTTAGAACACTTTATGCTTTTTCTCGTCCTAAATTAAAAAGTAACCAGATGAACTTGGGATAAGAACAAACAGAGTTTAAGGGAAACCTAGCCTGAATAGTTTCATGTCTCCTGTGTGATGGGTACTGTATTAAATTGGTTTTCAACAACATTCAAATGCCTAAGCTTGACCGAAACATCAATTCCAGATTTAGTCAGCCCAGAAACAATCCATTCCCCAGGCTAAGATAAAGTTACTTGACGTCCATCTGCAAAACGGTACTTTCCTGGGGAATCTTGACTGATTAATCCTACAGCGAGATCCCTGAGAACTGCTATCAGGAGATCACCCTCTGCAGCCAGCCCTTTGAATGGGGCTGACAGTAGGAGAAACTCCTACGTAATGACAGAGACTAAAAAAAATGCAAGCTGTTAAAGACTGCTTTGATTGCGATGTTCAGACCCAAAACTCATTTTAACACAGAGCTTCTCCTCTGAAGCCTTAACTGTTACACGTTTAAACAATTTTCGTATGAAATTTGTTTGCTTTACTCAACGCTGCAAGAAAACCACCCGCAGTAAAACAAAGCCAGAAGTATAGGAAACTATGAGAAAACTGGAAAATCCACCAGCATCTAGGCCTCGGGACTATGTTGCAAGTCACTGGCATATGCAACTCATTTTCTAGTTAAGCAATTCTCCCCGGGGACACACAGTCTGCCGTCCACATGCAGGATCAGATTTCATGAGCAGTTGTAGGAAAATGCAAGCCCTGTGCATTTGCAAGTCAAAACTAGTGAAGGCAGGAGCTTGCCTGGCTATCTTTGCTAGTTTTTCCCTGTGAGTTTTTGTTGATAAGAAACATTTGTTAAGATAAGAAGAGGAGAGGACAGCAAAGAAAAGATGGAGTATTTGGTTAGTACTTTTATATATACGTCTGGATAGATATGTCAAATATATCTATTTTATATATAAATATGCATAGTTAGCCCTGGAGCTTTGGCAGTACTTCCATCTCAACTGCAACCACCTGAGACTGCTGCGCTTACTGCAAACTGTTATATGTTTTTACACAATTCATGTTTACATAACTCGTCTCAGTCTTCAGAGAAGAAGCAAACAATCCCAACTTACTTTAAAAAAAAATCTTCTATATTCCGTACTTATTTTTCTTATCTGTAATCGATCCACTCTATCAAAAACAAATTCATTTAAAATCTGCAGCGAGCAATCACAAACATGCACAAACCCAAGCGCTCTGCATGTATTTGTGCAGCTCAAATAGTTATTAACACCGGCTACGTTAAGCTTCAGCTAGAGCAATGAATAAAACTGCTATTTGCAGAGTCAGTAGTCCCGAGCCACTCCCTCCAGGGACTTTTCCTGATGTCCAAGAGGCAGCTGAGTTTTAGTTTCCCTTAAGATTTGAAGGGGCCAGATCCTTACCTTGCTCTGAGTTGCTTCACCCTTTTCAAACATCATCTTTAGTTTGCTCAGCGGAACGCTGCATTTCTCTATCTTCCCCGAAGAGTCTGCGTTTTCACTGGCTTCAGGCTTTTCCACGTCTTGTCCGGATTCTCTCCGGCAGTTTTCCATGTCGCCACTCTCCAGCGAGCGGCTTTTAACCTCGTCGCCCTC